CTTCACATTATCATACTAGTCTTCATTCAGCCATTAGCAATAGACTAACAATTTCTAGCTTAATATTCTTATTGGCCTATGTCTTAGTCATCTAGTGCTGCTGTAACAGAAATACCACAAGTGGATGGCTTTAACAAGGAGAAGTTTATTCTCTTACAGTCCAGTAGGCTACAAGTCCAAATTCAGGGCTTCAACTCCAGGGGAAGGCTTTCTCCATCGGCTCTGGAGGAAGGTCCATATCATCAGTCTTCCCTTGGTCTGGGAACTTCTCTGCACAGGAAACACAGGTCCAAAGGACACGCTCTGCTCCCGGTACTGCTTTCTTGGTGGTATGAGGTTCCTATGTGTCTCTACTCGCTTCTCTCTTTTATATCTCAAAAGAGATTGGCTTAAGACACTATCCAATCTTGTATAACTCATCAGTATAACTGCCACTAATCCATCTTATTAGATCATAGTGATTGAATTTACAACTCATAAGGAAATCACATCAAATTACAAAACGGTACACAATTATACAATACTGGGAATCATGACCAAGCCAAGTTGACAGATATTTTGGGGGGGACACAATTCAATCCATGACAGCCTACATGTCCTTTGGTGGTGACTACTGAGGTAAACAAATGCTTGGGTTCTATTTCTCCCTGCAAGTGCCTCTCTCTAGATTTTGGGATAATTATTTGCCCTGTGACCTCAGTTCTCTGATCATTTTAAGAAAATTTGATAATTTGCATATTATCCAACTTTTTTTCCTGGAAAGTGTGTGAGTGGCATTCTTTCCAACTCACTATTTGGAGCTGAAACCAGAAATTGTCTTGTCTATTTTACAACTTAAATATATTCAATTTAAAGTTTCCTTTGGTTACCATGAGCAACACAGACTCTTTTAATCTAGTGGCTTGGAGTGGACAGGGAGATGGAGACTATTCTCAGGCACATTTCTCTTCTTATCCCAAATACATTTCTTGGATCTGGAAAGGGAGTGAAGAAGAAACAAAGTGGATAGCTCCTATTATACGGCTGTCCTTAACAATGTCAGCCATTGTCTATTGGCTCAAAGTGGACAGGTGATAGGATCAATATTCTCCAATGACAATTAAGTTTTTTTATTTGTATTATTTTCCTGCTCTGTTTCACTTTGAAATATGAAGGAGATTTTGTAGTGATGGAAATAAAACTCTACAGTATAAAAATTTGAAGCATTGGTCCTTGTCAGAGCCAGCTGCAATCTGGATTTGACTTTATGACTTGAGGTTGAGGTGTGAGGACCAGACTCTTCTCTCAGAGTCCAGTGAATTAGCCCCCAGAACAATTGGCATGGGGATGAGGCTTGGACAGTGACCTCTATCCACCCCCAACCCACCTCTCTCAAACTCCCTGAAGAGCCTTGGTTGTGACCAGGCCTTTTTCGGTGGCTCTGTGTTGACTTCAGTTCTGTGTCTGACTGGTTCAGTGTTTCTGATATTCAAGTCAGTCCAGATCCACAAGTACAAGAGACCTCAGGCACAGAGATATGCACAAACACAGGTGTTGTGGTCCTATAATTCAGGAAAAAAGGGGTGTCACCCAGCCCATGACTTGGGGGCCAGGGCAGTCAAGCTGTGAATTGGTGTGAAGTTGCCTTTTTGAGGCACTGTTGGTGGAGAAAGCAATGTCGTTGTGAGCTTTGCTCTTTAGGGCTATCATCTGAGGAACCATTATCACTTTTCTGACATACTAAAGAATTGATTGGACAATAAGGTGAAGGGGAAAAATCCAAATCTTTGGGTTCAGCAAAGTGTTTAAGGATTATGGCCTTTACAGCCAGATAAATCTCGGCTCCAATCTGAGCTTTTCCCCTTATCAGTATGTCACCTTGCATAAATCACTTATCTTCTTTGAGCTTCAGTTCAGTCACCTATATAGAGGGGATAATGACACCCATCTCAGAATTGCTTGTCAGAATTAAAGAAGTTAGAAATGTGAAGCAATGGGCTGTAAACAGCGGTGACTTATGTCATGTCTAGGCCAAAGTAGAGAAAAGTGGGTGTGAGGTCTCTGTGCACTCTCTTTCTCTGCTGCAGTGACTAACAATGTTCCAGATTGTGGCATCATGGTTAGTTTGGGTCTCTGAGAGACTGTGGAGAATAGAGCTTCTCTGTTACCGATCCTAACCAAGTTTGAGTAATAAATCTTTGTTGTGTTAAGCCACAGAGGCTTTGCAGTTGTTAAGTACCCTAGCATAAGCTTAGCCTAACTTGAAAAACACACAAATACGCCTCAGAGTTAAGCAACAGATGCTGAGATGCCTGTTAAAATACGCATTGTATGTGCTGAAGCTATACTGGGGGGACAGGAAAGAGATAGTGGGGATTACTGGTGAGAGAGAACTACTCAATTATCATATCAGAAAGTCAATAGATAATCTCTAAAATTAACAAATCAAGAAATAACAATTTCAAACCATATCTCTGATGAGGGACTTGTATCTGGAATATATGAAGAACTCCTATAACTCAACAATAACAAGACAACTCAATTAAAAAATGGACAAAGGATTTAAATAGATATTTCTCCAAAGAATATATACAAATAGTCAATAAGTACATGAAAAAAATGCTCAACATCATTAACCATTAGGGAAATGCAAATAAAAAACACAATGAGATAGCATTTCACACCCACTAGGATGGTATAATCAAAAAGTCAGACAACAGCAATGTTGGCAAGTAGGTGGAGAAATCAGAACCCTCATACACTCCTGGTGGGAAAACAGTTTGGAAGTTCCTCAAAAAGTTAAACATACAGTTACCATATGACTCAGATATTCCACTTCTAGACATATACCCAAGAGAATTGGAAACATAGGTACACACAAAAACTTGTACACAAATATTCAGTACTGATACAGGCTACAATATGGATGAACCTTGAAATCATTATGCTAAGTGAAAGGAGCCAGATCCAAGAGGCCACATATTGCATGATCCCATTTATACGAACTGTCCAGAATAGGTGAATTCATAGAAAGAGAAAGTGGGTTATTGTTTTTCAGGTGCTGGGGGAAGGGCAGATGGGGAATGACTGCTAATGTGTGTGACGTTTCTTTTTAGGGTGATGAAATATTTTGGGACCAGGTAGTGGCAATGGTTTCACAACTCTGTTAGTATACTCAAAACCACTGAATTGTACACTTCAAAAGGGTGAATTTTATGGTATGTAAATTCTATCTCAATAAAGCTGTTTAAAAAAAAGAAATAACAGTATAAGCGTATTATTCAGAAATATGGAGGTAAATACCAGAAGGAAAAATTTAAATGCTTACAGTAGTTGCCCCTGGAAAGCGGGAATGTGACATGGAAAGGAAGACTGCAGCTTTTAATAATAAACTTTTTTGCATGTATCCTTTTGATAAAATCAACGTAATTTAAAACACACACACACATTGTGGGGACAAATCAGAAGAAATTCCGATGCATCGGGTCTGAGGTGGGAGCCAGGATTCCGCATTTTCAATAAGATAGCTGACTCTGATGCAGTTGGTCTGCTAGGAGCTAGCAAACTTCGAGAAACACTACTATACCCAGTGTTAAAATCATTTAGCAACGAGTTGTGGTGAAATCCCTCTCCTGCTGTGGGGGAGAGCTAAGGGAGGTCTCACCTGTATCCAGGAACAAGTCCAGGCAGCTGTGTTCATTTTGGAGTGACAAATTTCAGTTGTTAAGGAATGAAATTATGTGCTCCAGACTATATATTCAATCAGAGGCAGAACTTGGCCATGAACTGAGGCCTTCTGACTCGATTATAATTAATGTATTGAGTTTTTAAGTTTCTACTATGTGTCATGGGTACTAAAATCAGTAAGATAAATTCTTTGCTTTAAAAAGGGCAAGTCTAGTAGGGTAATTATAATGCCTGACAAATATATTAGTTAAGATTTTACTTTCTCACATTTTATGTCAGGATTGACATAAATATAAAACTAGAAGAGGAGCATTTTTCACATTTCAGTAGGGAACATAGTGGGGATTTAACTCATTGGGGACTCCAAGGAAATCAGTGGGGCTTTGTTACCTTGAGGAGTCCAGCACATCAGCAGTAGTGGGGCCCTTAGGAGGGTTTAGGACCCTGGAGAAGGGGCACAGTGCCTACTAGACATGGCAGTGTCCAGGGTAGGGTGGCACCCACCTCTCAGGTGCCTGGAATTGTTCCTGGTTACAGGTGAGACCTCCCTCAGCCATCCCCCAAGTGTCTGATGGAGTACTTCTAGTGCAAGGGAGGGGGTAGGAGCCAACACAGCTCACACATTCAGTACCTCATCTGATCCACTCAGCAGCCCTGAGAGGCAAGTAGTATTCCCATTTCACAAATGACGAGGCTGACCCTTACAGCAATGGATCTGTAATAACTGCCAAGTGGACTCCTCCAGCTGCAAGCCCCACATTAATGTGAGTTTTGCCTATCATTCTATGTTCTGATAATATGAATTTCAAGTGCCTCCACTGCTTTCATAAGTTCACTGACCAGTTCTTTCAATCACTTACTATGTATTGTTAGGAAACATTTTGTTTTTCTTTATTTCTTTTCTGACAAAAGTAGTCTGTGTTTTTTAGGGAAAAAAATACAGATGAGAAAAATGAAAATCTCCAGTTTCACTATGCAGAGAAATCCATTATTTCCCTTTTGATGTTCATACTGTCATAGTTTTCCCTGTGCTTAGATGTATTATGGAAATATATATTTTTATAAAAATGGGCTGATACTGTATATGTGGTTCTGCAATCTGTTTTTTATTAATATTTTACAAGGTACCATGAACATCTCTTCCATGCACATGGGTGAAAATCCCCCACTGAAACACAGAGCGCTGCAGTGGGGTCAAAGGCTGCTGGTAACAAGAGTGACACCTAAAGCAAAGTATCAGCATAGGTTAAAGCACAGAGCCTGGCAAATGCCTGCCAGGGAAAGCGGGGCTCACAATATTCTCATCGGAGAATCAGAATTGAAAGCCGAAGGCATTAAAGGTATGGGGCATCATGTAAGCCTCTTTGGCCCCTACCTCCGCCCCTGACTCCTCTGACTCCCCGCTGGCCCCTTGGGGGGAATGGATCCTGGACATCTCTTTGCAACCAATGAAAACCACCCATTTTCTGTTTTTTCCTTAGCTCCTCCTGAGCCCTTGACATATCACCACATTCTCTCATCATCTCTTCACTGCTCAGGTGCCTTTCGTGTAAATCCTCCTGATAGTCCCTGGGGGAATCATCCGTCCCCCTGTCGGTTTTTCTTTTCGCTTTCCGGGGCACGTAATCTTCAGCCGGGCGCTTTTCGGCAGCCCGGGGCTCGCTTTCTGGCTTTCGCTCAGACTTCAGCTTGCCCTCACCTTGTGGTTTCCCGTCATCTCCTGGCTTTCCCTGCTTTTCCTTCTTTCCCTCTGGCTGTCGCTCATCACCTGGCTCTCCCTCATCCTCTAGCTTCCCCTGGTTTTCTGGCTTCCCCTCCACCTCCGGCTTTCCTTCCTCTTCTGACTTTCCTTCCTCTTCTGTATCTGCTTCATCTTCTGGCTCTACTTCACTTTTTGGTTTTCCCTCATTTTCCAGGTTTCCTTTGTTTTCTAGCTTTCCTTCATTTTCTTTGTAGAGCTTTTCCATGTTGAGATTTTTCCTTCTTTGCCTGTCCTCGGAGACAAAGAGGAGATCAAGAGACAAAGGAGAATGAGGATTTAAGGGGTGGCATGAAGATCTGGATAGCACTTGCCTTTCCTGATTTAGGGCTTTACTGACCCTATCCCACCTTCTAGGTGCACTCCCACGCTTATATTTCCTTCTTGCCTCCCCACTTCACACACGTTCACAAGAGCCAACCTTGTGGAAGCTTTCACAGGTGCTTCTACCTATGTTTACTGGTGTGCGCTGAGAAGTGTGTAGGAACAGATTGGTCCTTAAACTTTGCTCTAACCTTGGCTATGTATGCCCTTGCAGTTTTAACTGGGCATTCTCAACTTACACGGACCCGCAGGAATCCTGGACCGTTTCCTTCTTTTCTCCCTTGCCTGCAGTTGTAAGACATAGAACTGCAGACAGAAACAGAACAATGGCCTGGTCTGTTTTCAGGGCTCCTCTTGTATACTCAAGGGGCATCCACAACACCATCCCTCCCTCCCCTCCCTTCCTTCTTCTCCCCTCTATATTTACCATGTTCCCTTAGGGACCTGACACAGGCCACTCATCCTGACACTGCAATAGGGAGGCCTGGAGGAGGGGCAGCAGGCAGTGGCCTCCCCAACTTCTGCTCTGGCTTAAGCCACTCCTACTTGCAGGGGTCCTGGAGCAGTTGCCCTCTTCCACTGACCTGGGCTAATACTGCAGGTCCTTCTTTTTCTTGCCTGGTGTGGTGACCACAACTACAGACCTGAAGATCTGCAGAGACAGGAGACCAAGGTGGTGAATGAGGGATTGAGAAGTGAATGACTGGCCCCTGGAACACTGGTTATTTCAGACTTGTCCAAACTTTCCCACCTCCTGCCACCCGCCTGCCTTCTGCCTTGCCTTCTCTAATTCCCCCTCTCCAGCCCCTCCCTAATGCCCTTATTTTTCTAGTGGGGCAATAGGAGGGAAAGTTTATTCTAAAGTGTTTCTACATTTCTGAATCCCCCTCCCAAATTTCTACCTAACCATTTCCTGCACTAAAAATGAATAGGGTGCAGGGCAATGATGTTCAGAAGGCAGATCTGGCTGCCTCAGGTCTCTGCCTTCCAACTCCCCCACCCCAGGGTGCCCATATAGGGCAAAGCCCATTACTTTTCAGAAAACCTATGATGGTAGAGGCAGGGGACAGGGCAGGCGTGTCCATAGCAATACTGCCACCCCCTCTCCCTCCCCACATACACAGAAAGCCCACATTTTCCTGCAATATAAGAGACAAATTATTCCGAAACTCAGTAAACATTTCGGTCTATGCTACCCCTCTTAACCCTCTCTGGGTCAGATGCCACTCCTCCGCAATAGGGAGCTGGTCCCCAGACCGAACCCGTCCACTTCCTCTACAGCCTCCCCCAACCCTCTGCCCCCGCAGCCCACCATTTCTGGCTCCAAAATGGTTGGAGGATGAAGAAGAGATGCTGGAAACGCAGGCCTAGACCCACTGAGGGGTCTGCCTTTCCTACCCCAGGGGTCAGCAGCAGCGCCCCTCTCACACCGCCCTGCAGGGATCCGGCAGTTTCCTCTCGGTCCTTCCCCTCCGCTAGACGCCGCCCGCCGGCTTGCCCGCCTCCTAGAAAATCCAAGCTGGTACCCATTCCCAACCCCTCAGTGCTCCCTGTCTCCTCCCCACGAACCCTCCATTTCTTGCTCCAAACGGGTGGGCGTAGGAGAAAGGGTTCAAGAGAATCCAGTCCTGGACCCGCTCAGGTCTTTGCCCTCCACCACCCCCACCCCTGGGGTCTGCAGGCGGCGAGGGATTTGTAGGCATTCCGGGGTCATGCCTCCCCCTCTTGACATTTCCTTCTGCCACAAGCTCGCACTTCTCCAAGGATATAAGAGATAGTATCCAGACCACCTACCCCCAACATTCACACAATCTTATGCGCCAGAATGAATGGTGGGTGAGTGGAGAGTGATATCTGGAAAGCAGATCCTATCCTCTGTTGTCTCTGTCCTCCACCACCCCCACCCCAGGAGTCCCTGGCTTGTACCGACCTGCAGGGCTATAGGGCAGTTGCCCCTCTGCCCCTCAGTCTGAAGTCTGCCTTCCTCCACGCAAATAGGGAGCTGATACTTGGAGGAAAGGGACTTCTGCACACATCGGCTCCTGATCACGTGAGGGAAACGTCACCAGTGGGCTCGGGTCCCCAGTTCCTTTCTCACCAGCAGAAAGTGCGTCAGGAGCCAGCAGACCTCCTCCCTTCACTATCTCCTCCCCCTCCAGTCCCCACCGTAGGAGGCCCTGTCACTCATTTTTGTCTTTGCCAACCCTAGAGGTAAAAAATGGCCTTCTCCCTGTGGTATTTGTCCTTACGTGGTTAGCAGGGAGGGGTTGCATCTTCTCCAAGGGCTACTGGCCATTGGTACATCTCCGAGGAATTTTTTTCTTTCTCTCTTTGCTCCCGCCCAAGGCACCTACCTCCTCAGTCGGCTTCTCTGCTTAGCCACTATGTTGATTCTACCTGTGGTCCGAACCTTCACATAATAGGTACAGGGTGGGTTGTCAAATAGAGAAGCAGAGTGTTGACATAGGAGTTTTATTTTCTTCTTAATATTTTTAAATTTAATTTATTACCCTCAGCATGGGTTATTCTCATAAGCCAGAATTAAATATATTTTCATTTGTGGGAAGAAAGTGTTTATGGTAAGAGAAAAATAACAGATACGATTCCAAGAATTTCTACCTCGGAATGGAGTCCATAACATTAATTTTTACCATATAGAAAATGGATTCGGTTGGCTACATACAAAATTTTTTTTTTCACAAAGAGTTGTTTCTTTGTCCTGTTCTATTAAAACACACACACACACACACACACACACACACACACAGAGTTATTTAATATTCTCAAACAACTGTTGAATGCTAAGTAAACCTGCTGGAATATCATGGCTGCCACAAGGTCAGTCTTGAAAATTTGGCCCATAGCTGTTTTCATTTAGAAGTTTTGCTCTGGGCAAAAGGAAGAGCTGTAAGGCCAAGGCAGCTGGGGTTTTGAGGGCTGCAAAGATGGTCTGATCCTCCCTGCCCTGTCAAGAGATGGGGAAGGTGCTGCTCCCTCCACCCCTCCCATATTCCAGAGCCTCTCATCTTCTGCTTCAGACACCTGACTGTTGCTCACTCCAAAAATATACGTGGACAGGTGACTGAGCTGGTGACCTGAGTAGATACCTTTGTCTCCTTTCCTCCCTCCCTCCCCCAAATTCCCACAGAGATGATTCAGCCTCAGCATAAACGAGAGCGCGCCGTTGTCACTACTGGAAACCAAAGGGGATTCCTTTTAGACCCTTGCAGCTGTGAGTTTCCTTGAAGTCTGAAAAAGTGATTGCTGTGGGGAGAGCCTTTCCGCAGGCCTGCTTGCTCTCTGCCCTTATTCACGGTGCCCAGGTGGAAGCCTCCCTGGAGTCCAGCTGCTGCCTCTCACCTGGTTAAGGAATGCAGCCTGCTGGGTCTCTCCAGTCCAGGTTTTCTCACTTCCAGAGCACCTAGGAGGAGCTAGGTATGCTGAAAGGGTTGCTGCCTTCCTTTCCATACCTACATCGGTGCCCTCTCAGCGAGACTTAAGAAACTCAAATGCAGACCATACTGATTCACCTAGATCAAGTGTTCTCTACCGAGGAAGTCTATGGGCTATCTGAAATGGTATGCAAGGTTGCTTGTGTTTAGGGGGTAGTGGAATATATACACTTTTGTGGGAAGAGGGCCTGTACCCTAGGAAGCCAGAGAAACCGTGATATATAAGCAGGTTGACATTATGAGCAAGCAGAAGCTAAGAGGTAGAGAAAATACAGAGAGGAGAAGAAGCTATCCCTGCTGGCTCCCATTAGATACTCAAAGGGCTCTGTAATGTAAACCGGTAAAGTGGAAGGAGAAGGGGGAAGAGACAAATAGCTGCTGAGCCATGTTAAAAGGGGAGCACTTACACTTTGGGTTCATTCTTAAAGGTGGAAATGTATGAATCCCCTGGAATTATGTTTAAAATAATGTGCAAGTGTATGTGTGGGTGTGTGAGCGATACGATATGTACATTTTTCATAAGTGTGTATATTTGCTGAGGATAGGGTCTGTAGCTCTCATTAGATGCTCAAAGGGCTTTGCAATGTAAAAAAGGTGAAGGCTCACTGGCCTAGAGAATATATCTTTATATACATAGTTTTTTTCCCCCAAATAGAGGTAAAATTCGTCTAACATAAAATTAACCATTTTAAAGTGTACAGTACAGTGGCATTTAGTACATTCACAATTCTATGCAACCATCACCTCTATCTAGTTCCAAAACATTTTCATCACCCTCAAAGGAGACCTCATAGCCATTAAGAAGTCACTCACCATTGTCCTCACCCACCAGTCTCTAGCATCCACGAATCTGGTTTCTGACTCTATGGATTTGCCTATTCTGAATATTTCATATAAATGGAATTGCATAATATGTGACCTTTTGTTTCTTTCATTTGGCTTCTTTCATTTAGCATAATGATTTCGAGGTTCATCCACATCGTAGCATGTATCAGTATTTCATTCCATTTTTTGGCTGGATAATATTCTATTGTATGGGTATACCACCTTTGTTTAGTCATTCATCTGTTGATGGATGTTTGGCTTGTTTCCACCTTTTGGCTGTTGGGAATACTGCTGCTATGAACATTTTTGTACAACTTATTGTTTTCAGATATTTTAAGTATATACCTAAGAGTGGAATTGCTGGATCACATGATAACTGTATGCTTAACATTTTGAGGATCCACAAACTGCTTTCCACAGCAGCTATACCATTTTACAATCCCACCAGCAATGTACAAGGGTTACAATTTCTCCACATCCATGCCAGCACTTGTTATTTTCCTTTTTAAAAAAAAATTATAACCATCCTAAAGTGATATCTCATTATAGTTTTGATTTGCATTTTTCTTAATGAATAATGATGTTGAACATCTTCCCATATGCTTAT